CCGTCCTTCCTCCTTCCTCGTCGTGGTCGTCGTCGTCGTCGCCGTCCTCCCTCCTCCCTCGTCGCCGTCGTCGTCGTCGCCGTCCTCGTCCTTTGTCTTTCCTTGTCGTCGTCGTCCTCTTTGGCGTCGTTGTCGTCGTCGTCGAAGTCGTCGGAGTCGTCGTCGGTATCGTCGTAGTCGTCGTCGGCGTCGTCGTAGTCGTCGTCGTCGGCGTCGTTGTCGCTGCCGTCGTCGGCGTCGGTGTCGTGGCCAAGTGCCATTTGGTACCCACCGTCACGGTCTTAAGAGGTCTTGCGTCCAAGTTGCGGGTGGGAGGATGGGATGTTTGCACGAGCAGTGGAGAGGACAGCTTCAAGACAGTCAAAGTGTATTATGTTTTCTAAAGAGAGAATATACTCTACCCCCCCCCCGCGTTCTCCCCCCCTTTTCGAGTATGTAAATCATTTATGATTATGACCACATGTCCATCCTACATGTGAATTTCCCAGGGGGGCCGGGATCGGTCCCCCTGAGGCTCCCTTGTAAAAGAGAATACGCGGGGACATTCTTTGCTCTAACATAAGACTTTTTCGCGAATCCCTTGCAAAAAATGTGACGAAGTGCACACGCGCGCGTCGTCGCGCGCGCATGCCGAAATCCTTCAAAAGTCTTCGGTGTCGGAAGGATTTCGCAATCGAGTTTCTAAAAAACATACAAGCGCACAGGGTTTCGCAACACTGATTTGCTAAAAAAGCTTACGCGCGAGCTCTTGCGAAATCTTTAGAAAACCATAGCTTTTTCAAGATTTTCACAAAATGCTACCAAACGGGCTTCGCGCGCGCATGTCGAAGTCTGTCAAACGCCCTTGCGCGTGTGCCGTCGCGAGAATCCTCTGGAAAAAATGGGACGAAGTGCATACGCGCGCGTTGTCGCGCGCGTATGCCGAAATCCTTCAAAACCCATCGGCTTCGGAAGGCTTTCAACATCGTGTGTCCAAACAACCTACAAAAACACAACGTTTTGCAATGCGGATTTTCAACAAAAGCGTGCGCGCGCTCTCTTGCGTCGTCGTCGTCGTCGTCGTCGCCGTCCTCCCTTCTCCCGCGTCGTCGTCGTCGTCGTCGTCGCCTACGTCGTCCTCTGTCTTTCCTCGTGTTCGTCGTCGTTGTCGTCGTCCTCTTTGGCGTCGTGGTCGTTTCCGTCGTCGTTGTCGCCGTGGTCGTCCTTCCTCCTCCTCCCTTGTCGTCTTCGTCGTCCGTCGTCGGCGTCTCGTCGTCGTCCCTCCTATTTCGTCGCCGTCGTCGTCGTCGTCGTCGTCGTCGTCGTCGTCGTCTTCCCTCCTCCCTCGTCGTTGTCGTCGTCGGCGTCGCCGTCCTTCCTCCTTCTTCGTCGTTCGCGCCGTCGTCGTCCTCCCTCCTCCCTCGACGTTGTCGTCGTTGTCGTCGTTGTCGCCGTCGTCGTCCTCCCTCCTCCCTCGTCGTCGTCTTCGTTGGCGACGTCGTCGTCGCCGTCGTCTTCGTCGTCGTCGTCGGCGTCGGCGTCGTCGTCGTCTTCGTCGTCGTCGACGTCGGCGTCGTCGTCGTCGCCGCCGTCGTCGTCGTCGTCGTCGGCGGCGGCGTCGTTGACGTCGTCGTCGTCGGTGTCGTCGTTGTCGTCGTCGTCGGCGTCGTCATCGTCGTCGTCGTTGTTATCGTCGTCGTCGTCGTTGGCGTCGGCGTCGTCGTCGTCGTCGGTGTCGTCGTCGTCGTCGTTGTCGTCGTCGTCGAAGTCGTTGGAGACGTCGTCGGTGTCGTCGTAGTCGTTGTCGGCGGCGTCGTCGTCGTCGTTGTCGCTGTCGTCGTCGGCGTCGGTGTCGTTGCCAAGTGCCATTTGGTACCCACCGTCACGGTCTTAAGAGATTTTGCAGATCAAGTTGCGGGTGGGAGGGTGGGATGTTTGCGCGAGCAGTGGAGTGGACATATCATTGCGAACAGAAATTAATTGCACCACATAGATTGCACCACGTTGATTGCACCATAGATTGCACCACGTAGATCGCATAACAAATATTGCACCACGTAGAGCGCAGAACACCGACTGTACTACATAGATAGCACCACACATGTTGCACCACATAAGTTTCACAACATAGTTCACACGACCTACATTGCACAACGTAGATGGTTCCGCATATATTTCACAGCCTAGATCTCTCAGCATACATTGCTCACCATAGGTTTGCACATTCTATATCGGTTCGCATCGATTGCACCACATGGAACGCACCGGATAGATTGCACCACGTGGATTTCACCACCTACATTGCTCAACCTAGTTTGCTGGAAGCGCACAGTTTGGGACCCACGCTGGTTACACACATACATATATATACACACACGTAGATAAAGAAGGTTTAGAATGTTGGGCCCGCCCAGAATGCCCACGCGTCATGGAAGTGGCCAACGGGCGTCCACCTCTCGTGAAACGGACGGCGTCATTTGGGGCAATGTACCCTTTCCCTCTCCGCCTCTAACTCCTCGTCTTCCCTCCTCGCCGTCCTCTACCTCCACCTCGCTTGTCGCCCTCCTTCTCCTCCCCCTACCGCCTCATCGTTTGCCGACGTTGGCGGAAGTCGGCGGTGGTAAACGCAGATCCCCCGACAGAGGCCAAAATTCAGTTGCTTGAGACAAGTCCCGCCACCGTGCCAGGCAAGCTATCTGGGTGGCGATTGTTCGAGGGGGCACTGGAGGCCGTGACGTGTGACACCGCGTGTCTCTAGGCTCTAGGCCTGAGGAAGCCGGGGTGAGGATTTTGAGGAGTATGATATTGTTGGGGGTGGTGATCATTTTGATGAGCATGACGATGATGACGATGTTGCTAATGATGATGAGGATGGTGATGATGGTGCTGATGATGATGGTGTTGGTGGTGATGGTGACGTCGATGATGATGATGATGTTGTTGATGATGCGTGTCGTGATGATGGTGGTGGTCATGGTGATGGTGATGGTGATGATACGCACAGTGATCATGGTGGTGACGGTCGCGGCGATATTGGTAGCGATAGTGCGGTTGTTGATGATCATTGTGATGATGATGATGATGATGATGCTGATGATGATGATGATGTGAATGATAAAGATACTAATGTTGACGACGTTGACGACGATGGTGATGATGATGGTGATGATGCTTTTGATAGTGATGGCGATGGTGATGGCTATGATGGTGATGATGATGACGATGATGGCAATGGTGAAGATGATGATGATGATGATTATGATGATGGTGTTGTTTATGATGGTGGCGGCCACGATGACGATGACGATTCTGATGTTCATGACGATGATGGTGATGATTGATGAGGAGTGTTGTGATGCTGATGATGATGATGATGATGATGATGGTGATGATGATGATGATGTTGATGATGCTGCTGCTGGTGGTGGGAGTGATGATGACGATGATAATGGTGATGCTGATGCTGCTGATGATGATGATGATGATGATGATGATGGTGGTGGTGGTGATGATGACGACGACGAAGACGACGACGATGCCAACGAGGAGAGGAGAAGCAGGAGGAGGGGGTGGAAGAGGAAGGCAGTCACATGTGACACCTTGCGTCTTCATTATTTAAGGAGCTCTCATGGACCTCGTTTGGGTCGTCTTCGGGCTGTCTTGGCCTGCCGTGAGGCAGTCTTGGGAGTCCCTTGAGGCCCTTTTGGGCCGTCTTGGGGCCCTCTCAGGCCGTCTTAGTGGGTGTCCAGGGACCGTCGTGGGCAATCGAAGGGCCTTCTGCGGGGGCTGTCTTGGCTGTCTCTTTGGCTCTCGTGGGGTCCTCTTGGGCGATCTTTGGACCCTCGTGGGGGCCTCTTGGGCTATCTTGAGGAGCTGACGGAAGCCCGAAACGGTGAGAATGCGAAAATCCGTCACAACCGTAGGAAGTTCTATGAGGCTGGCTTCTTTCCTTGAAGGCATCTTGGCCCTTCTTCGAGGCACCTTGGGCCATCTTGGTGGCCTTGGTTGCCTGCCTGGGCCGTCTGGGAAGCTCAATACGCGGACTCATGGTGTTCCTACCAAGGATCGTGGCCTCGGGAGCACGGTTCGATCGTTTTTCGTTCGAGGGATCGTGGCATCGGAAGTGGGCGAGGGATCCACGCGACAAGCTGCTGGTGGGGGGGTGGGCGCCCCCTGGCATCATACAGAAACCCTACAGATCAGCACCAGGCATCCCTACACGCCCACATCGTGCAGGCACGGTGGCGGATTGCTCCTGAGTGGGGTTCTGGGTTGACCGTTTCGTCAATGTTTCGGGCGCGTTAGGCAGTGCAAGTGTATCTCTGCATAGTTGGTGTTTCTGCTATTATCCTTCTTCCATCCAAGCGGCCGTCGAGTCTTTGTCATCGTGAAGGGCCCGAGTGGTCTTACGCTGTCCCAGGGTGCGTGACTCTAGTGGGCTTTCGCAATGCGGATTGCCGTTGTTGGTAATATCGTTCTTGTCGTCGTCGTCCTCGCCCGCGACCCACCTGCGACCCACACGCGAACCTCTCGCGATGCTCTGCTGCAAATTCTGCGTTTGCGGCGGACTCGTTGGCTCAGCGTGTCCAAAAATCAGCGCCTGCGGCGTGCTTCCATTTTTCCTGTCGACCCTTGCAGACTGCCCCTACCCCACCCTGTCGTCTTGCCCGCAGCTGCGCAGGCTGTGGTATGAGATCCGTATGCGCACCATCTCCATGGTGAACGTGTTCGTGCGCTTTGTATCGCGTGGCTCCAACATGTTGTATCACCTGGGGACTCGAAGCCGTGTCTCGCAGGCACAGTGGCGGAGGCGGTGAGTGGAGTTGGCGGCGATTGAAGGGCAAACAAAAATAGATTGTTTGGCTGTTTGATGCTCCGGTTGCATCCGGCTCACCCCTTTTGTGCCCCTTGCCGTCGTTGCCTATTTCCTTCGTGCGTTCTCGGTGTCGAGCGAGCTCCTGTCCAGGGGCTCCACCTCCACTGAGCTCACCGCGTGAGCGCTGCTCCCCGCCCCCTGGCAGGAGAGGCTGGACCGCTGCTTCGACGACTTCCAGGCCAAGATCACGCCCATGTTCGACGCCGCAATTTCCGAGGGCGACGACACCAGAATGGACGTGAGCCAGGGAGTCCCAGCGAACAGCGGCGGCCGCCCCGCGGTGGCAGCATTTCTTCGCCCAGCCCTCGCGACAGAACGTCACCTCGGCGTGTGCAGCTTCCATGTCTTACAGTCAGGAACGTTTGCTCAGCGCGTCGCGCGGCTGGTTCTAGCCTACTGCGCCACGGCGCGACACGAACGACTGTCCGAATTCCCAGGCGTCAACGTCCCAAGCCTTTCTTCACCTCCCGCCCCGCGGAGCGGGCCGACACGCAATCTGCTCGCAGAGCGCTGTGTGTCGCTGGGTCCGCTGCCGCGACACGCCAGACACAAGTCCCTGTAAGTTCCGGACCGCAGGCCTTCTCTTGCCCCCCCCCGCTTCGCCAGCGTGGGCGCGCCTCACCGACCGCCTCTCCTTCTCGGCGAGGCTGCTGCCGCGCAGCGCGCGGGGCGGTCTGTGGCGCTTCTTGGGTTCGGAGGGGCCCTCAGCCGCGCTCTGCGGCGGGCCGGAGGTCAGGTCAGGCCGCTCTGGGGCCGAGAGGTGGACAAATTGCGAAGTCAGGGGTGTGTGACCATCTGGAGGGCGTTGACATCAGCATGCGAGCGGGCCTCGGCCCTCCCAGCAGCTCCCTCGCAGAGCCTTGCGCCGGCTTCCATTCCGTTGCGTCCCGGGGGAGGCGAGGAGGCGCGTCGGATTGTTTTCCAGTATAGCCTCTTGCGCGCGTGTCGGGGCAATGCTCCCATACCCTTTCGCATCACATCGTCAGTTGACAGTCTGGCTCGGAGGAGCCCCGCAAGGGACGGAACCTTAGCCCGATATTGAAGACAACTTGCATCGACGTGCTTTGATCGTCCGGCTTGCCTGTCTTAACTCGACTAGTACCCACACGCCCCGCGCCTTCCGTGAGGCGGGGGGGAGGCCCTCATCAGAAAGCCGCGCCCATCGCTGGGCCCCCCACCCTCCCCCCACCTTGCGCGCCGCGCAGTGGCGGGAAACCGGCGCCCGACACCCAGCATCACTTCTGGAGGTCTACCATCTCCAGGGGTGGCGCGGGCGAGGCCGAGGCCGCCAGCGTTACACGCGTCGCCGAGGGCTTTGGAGGAGCGCCGGCACCCGCCAGCGCGCAAGCGTCATGGCCCAGCCTGCGCAGCGGTGGAAAACTGGTGCTCCACACCCCGCACCACCTCTGGAGGTCTGCGGTCTCCAGGCTTGGCGCGGGCGAAGCCCAGGCGGCAGCCGAGACCGCCTCTGGGGGGCGGGGTGTGCCGGACCCCCCCCCGCGCGCGGGCGGCAGGTGCTGATAGAGCTCGCGGAGGACGCCGAGAGGCGCGCGGTGTCCCCCGCGCCGCGCTGGGCCTGCCTGTCTGCCACGGCGCTCCATGGCCTGAAGTCTCCCAGGGGCTTCGATCGGCCACGCGCAGAGGGGGTCGGGGGGAGGGGGGAGGGCTTCTTAGAAGCACCCCTGTTTCTTGGAAGGCGCGGGCCTTGTCTCCTGGATGCAAGGCCATCGACTTCTAAGAAGCAGCCTCCTGCTAAGAAGCCTTCCCCCCTCCCCCTACCACCTTGTGCGCGCCGCCAAATCGAACAGTGGGCATCGCTTGAAGAAGGAATAATGAGAAGAAATAGTGGCATAAACATGAACTTTCGACGGTCCGCGCGGATGTTTTGGATCCGCGTTGGGGCCCCCCTAGCGGCGCCTGCGGCGCCGCCCCCAGCTCGCTCGGCGCGCCACGGAGGGGGGCCTGACGCAGATCCCAAAAATCCGCGCGGACCTTCGAAAGTTCATGTCTATGCGTTTTGGTTGCTCTAATCTCGCCCTGGGCGGGATCTGTTGCGGTCCGATTCACAGAGGAGGGCGATTCTCTGGGCGAGGGGCAGAAGACACAGATACCGCTGTTCGGCCTGGACAGCCCTCGTCGCCACCGCTAGGTTCTCCTCGAGATTCTGGTCAGGCCACACCCCAGGAGAGGTCTGGGGAGTGGCAGTATTGCTTTGTAGTACGCCCCGCCATTGCAGAAAAGAGCAAAGGGGCGGGCGCGGGGTGGGTCGCGGGAGGGTCGCGAGTGAGTCTCGGATGGGTCGCAAGGTGGGTCGCGGGAGTTTCGTGGGTATTGCGTGGGGGGTCGCGGGGTGAGTCTCGGGGTGGGTCGCGGCTGGGTCGCGCGGGGGGTCGCGGGGAGGATTACGACGACAACAACAACAAGAGTTTTCATGTAATGACTGTTCGCTGTTATCTGCTCACGGACCACATTCATCGCGCCTATATCCCGAATCCCGCCCTCTCCGTTTTCGACCGTGCCCCCCTTGGAGGTCTTCAAGTGAGGTTGGCGCAGCCCCTAAAACAGGAAAGGACGGGAGGAGGGAAGTGAGGGGGGGAGGGAGAAGGATGGAGCACGAGAGGGAGTAGCAGGAGGGGGTTAGGACCAGAACTACAAGCGGCATAACCAGACAGGCGGGTGGGGCGGGCGGGCCCTAACGGGCGTCTCGGGCGTGCATGCCCAGACGGCCGGTCGGGTCGAGCGGGCGGTTCGTTGAACCGTCAACCCAACATGAATCGCGAAGAAGTTTTGAGCGATATCGAGATTCCCATGCAACTCGTGAGGAAGTCTGGAGCGAGAGCCTGATTCTTGAGTGTCGAAGCCGCGGCGTTTCAATACTTTGCGAGGACGTCCCACGCAAGAGCGCGATTCTTGAATAAGGTGTAAGAAGTCTCTTGCGAGAGCGCGATTTTGCAGAATTGGAGAGAAAGCATCAGGCGGGAGCCGTTCTTGTTGTTGGTGGTGTTGTTGTTGTTCGTGGACCAGGGACGCAATATGACGCCCAAAATGTTCCTTCATAAAAGAACAGGGTTCGAGCCACGGGAGGAGCACTCCAATGGAAAAACTGAATGGGCATCGGGCAGGGTCACCAACAATAAAATAAGTATCCTTTAGGCATGAGAAGGCAACCATCATTTTCACACTGTTCGCTCGTATCTGCTCGCGCGTCATCGGACATGTATATCCCACATCCCCAATACTCGCCCTCTCCGTCTTCGATCGTACCCCCATTGGGATCTATCTTCCTTACCTGCATCGTGTAGTTGGCGCAGCCCGTAAAACAGCTCAACGGAGGGTGGAGGGAAGAGACAGGGGGAGGGGGGGAAGGATGGAGCACGAGAGAGGCTATCCGGAGGGGGGTTATGAGCACGAAGTCAGGCGGCAGAGCCAGACGGGCGGATCGGGCTGGCGGGCCCTAACGGGCGGGCCCTCACGGACGGGTCGGGCGGGCGGTCCCAGACTGTCGGGTCGAGCGGGCGGGTCGTTGAAGCATCAGTCTGTTGAAGCATCAGTCTTGCATGGGTCGCGAGGAAGCCTCCCATCGACAGCGCGATTCCCAAGTAGATCGGGAGGGCGTCCAGAGCGAGAGCATCATTTCTGAGTGTTGAGGGTGCGTCGTTTCGGTAAACTGCAAGGAAGTCCTGCGCCAGAGCGCGACTTCTGGGTGCATTGCGGAACAGTCCCGCGCGAGAGAGCGATTTTGAATGATTGGCGGGGAGTATGAATCACGAGTTGTTGTTGTTGTTGTTGAACATTATTAATTCTAAAGAATAATTATTGTTGGGCCCCCTGGTGCGCGCCCCCCCCGCCGCGCCTAGGCCGCAGCCACGTTTTCATCATTTTCGTGAGGAAGCCTCAGGTAATTCGAGTTGATCAAGATCCGGTTGTTTTGTTGTAATCCGCTTTCCCTTGCAAAAAACACTATAAAATGAAATTTCTTGTTCTAATATAATCAAATTTCAAGAATCCCTTGCAAAAAATAAGGTAAAGTGGACATTCGCGCGCGCAAGACGAAATCCTTCCAAAAGCTTAGTGTTCGGAGCGATTTTAACATAAAAACATCAAAAAACCAATGGTTTTTCAACAAAAAAATGTCAAAATCTCATCCCGCGCGCTCTTGCGGATTCGTAGGAAACCCAACACTTTTTAAACATTTCTGTCAAACGGGCTTTTGCGAGCAACTTTTTCGAACTTCTGCGACAACGGTTGCGCACCTGCCAGGGCCATCATCCCTGTCAAATAATACCATGCGGGACACATTCGTTTTTTCTTCGCGCGCGCACGCCGAAATCTCCAAAAACCATTGGGTTCTGTGGGTGTGTACCCCACGCCAGTGTAGTAGCCACGGTCGTCCGCACGCCACGAAGTGAAGTGTCCCAACGTCATAGGGCGGGAAGCTGGGTTTGGGTGGTCGCGAAGAGTCGTTTGGATATTTGGTAGAGCTTGTAATGCCCCCCCACGAAGTGGGGGTATTGCCTGGTGTCGTATGAAAACCCTGGCACTGGGGAGAACACCACGCGTTCGGGTAAAATGATTGTTGTTGTTGTTGTTGTTGTTGTTGTTGTTGTTGTTGTTGTTGTTGTTAGGGGGCCAGTGACCCAGTCTGAGGCATAAGTTTTTCCTGTGTACAAAAAGCACGGTGCGAGCCCTGGGATGTGTTTTTTTTTCAATTGAAAAATTACGATGGGCACTGCGGAGGGGGGATCAACAGTCATCTTTTTCAGACATGGGGTTCAACATCAGCCACAAAACAACAACGCATCAACAATTCGCACTCCGCACCGCGGACCCCCACGTCAGCCACGCGCACAGGGACAGTGAACGACCGTTTGACCCCCTCACTCTGACCTCATGGTTTCCCCATGATGTTGCAATTCGTTTCCAGAGTCGGGCGAATCGAGACGACGGTAGGCGGCCTTCGGAGGCCCGAACTTCGGGGGGGGGAGGCCCTCGTCGTCACGTCTGGACGCAGCTCGGGAAATTGGTTCGATTTCCCCGGAGGGATCCGGGGACCAGCTCCGCCCAGCTCCGAGGTTTGAAATCGATTATGGCCCGAAGAGGTTTTCGTCGGTTTCGGACGTCTTTGGACATGCTCGTTGGAGGTGAGAGGTTTTCCCATCTCGAGGTGCGTTCTGGCAGCTGCGCCTCGCCGAGAGTGTTCCAAGGCTGCCCAGATCGTCCCGAACGGCCGCAGCAGGCAAGAATTATGGCCCGAAAGCCATGGTCAGGGTCCATTTTGATCCAATCGATCCGGGTCGATGCCGATTCTGCCAGCCCGATGCGATTCGATTGAGATATTCCGACAATCCGATGCGGCCCGATGCTCGCATGGCGTTGTTGTGCGCCCTGGCGCGGCCTCTTGAGCACCCTCTTGAGGCCCGTTCCGGGCCGCGGGACCCAAAGGAAGCAGTCCACGACGCGAAATCAACACAACCCACGGCTCGACCCGACACCTGAGCGAAAGATAAGGTCGGCAGCCTTTACACGCCCCCCCTTTTACCTGACGCCAGGGCTGCTGCAGGTGGGCGCCAGTGGCATCCAGGCCTCGGGAACAGCGGTGACGTGCAGCTTTGGCGGGCGCTTGGGGCGTGAAGACTCTCGAAATGAAGCTCCCGTCCGAGCGTCGGTCACATTTCAGCTGTCCGGCCGCACTGCCAGCCGCGTGTCCAGCCTTAGTCTGGCAACGGGTCACGTTCGGTACTCATTGAAGCGTGAGTCTGCCTGCCAGACCGCGGCCGAGCGAATGGCACACCTGATTTTCATGGAGCACGGGGTGTCAGAGGCGGGGGCCCATGTCGTCAAGGCCGGAGCTTGCTGCACATACCAAAGAGCACAGCCAGGGCCAATATCTGCAGACAGCGCTTTTAGAGCCAGGGTGATTCGAAGCACTGCTCCTTCATCATGCGCATTGGTACCCTCATTCGTCGTCGTCGTCTTCATCGTCGTTCTCCTCCTCGTCATCCTCCTTCTCGCCCTCCTACCCCCCGCCCAGCCTTCCTCCTTCTCCTCTCCTCGTCTTTCTGCCCTCCCCCCACTTCTCGTACTCGTCTTCTCTCTTCCCATCCCCCCCACACTCTTACACATCATCCTCCTGTACCTCCTCATATCACCCCTCCTCTTCCTCCTCCATCCTTCGGGGCCTCAGCTTCCTCCCCAGACTCTTTCTCTTACTCTCCATGCCGCTCCGCCTCATCCTCTTGTACCTCATCTTCTAGAATATTATGTGCCGTTTCTTCTTACTCCTCCGCCTCCACCGATCCTTGTCGTCCTCGTCCTCGTGTCCCTTCCATCCCCGTACTGAGTTGTTTCGTGATGGTCCTGGGACTTGGAATCGGCCTCTGGAGGCCGAAGATGGCGGGCGAGTTGTTTCAGTCGCCAGAGGTCACGTGTGGGTCGGTTCAGGCAGGTCGAGGCTCAGGCTAACTATCGCGCCACAGCGTTGCAGAACGCTCCCGGTTCTGGAAGGCCCTGGGACCACGTCGGCGCCTTATCTGTCCTCCAGACCTGCCGATGTGCATCCGCATCCGAAGCTGTCCTCATCCTGCTGTCATGCTATGAGTACCTCTGCGTCCCGCTGCTCGTGGCCTGGGCCTCGGTGCCAAACTCTTCCCGCGCGCGGCGGGCGAAGAGGCTGCGCGCGGCGGTGCGGAGCGGGCAGTCGCCCTCGACGCGGAAGTCTGGCGCCACCAACGCTTCAGGAGACGATGTTTTGTTCATCTTTGCCCGATCGCTTCCCTCCGCCCACCTCCCTCGGCTCTTCGGCAGGTGCCAGCAAATGGCATCCGCCGATCCCTCGATTCTTGTTTTGAGATTTGGTCAACCCCTTCGGGACGCTGATGGAGCGTATATTGAAGTAGATTGCGTGGGTGGGGGGAGAAAAAGGGGTGAGGAGGAGGAGGAGGATGAGGATGAGGAGCAGGAGGAGGAGGAGCAGGAGGAGACAGGTGAGATTGAGAGTGAGGAGGACGAGGAGGAGGAGGAGGAGGAGGAGGAGGAGAAGGAGCACAAGAAAATGTAGCAATGAGAGGATGACGAGAAGGATCTGGCGCATGGAGACAAGCCGAGGAGGAGACGGAGGCGAGACGGAGATAAGGAGCGGAAGGTTTTGCAATGACTCTGCGGATTTGTTGGGGGCGGGGCTCCGTTTGGACACTCTTGGGCACTCTTCGACCCGTCGGAAGCCCTTTCGTAGGTCACTCCTGAGCTTTTTGAGTTCATCTCAGGCACGCCTGAGGTCACCTTGCCGTTTTGGACCACAAAGCTTCGGAAGCAAACCGGCGTTGCATCACCTGTCGATCTCAGAAGGTGCTTGCTGTCGGGGGCCTCTCTTGGGGCCTCCTGAGGTCTCTCCTGGGGTCCCTCGTGTGCTTCTCGGGACCTCCTGGGGCCTCACGGGCCGCCGTGGGGGGCCTCTGCCGCTGCACGCGGCCGCCCGCGGCCGCGAAGAAGTCCCTCGTCCTCAGGGGTCTCGCTGGCCATGAAGACGAAGAAGGCGAAGCTGGGCGTCTCCGCGAGGCTGTCGCCGCCGCCGCCCGCCGCCCCGATGTGCCCCGATCTGGGGCAGGGCGGCCCTCGGAGCGCGTCCCCCGCGTGCACTGGCCCGAGGCGGACACACGATGAGAGAGGGCCACACCCTGCGCTACGCACAACTTTGTAGGGTTGGGCCCTTCGCCAAGCTAACTCCCGACCCTCCGTGGTTTTGTGCCCCCGCGTCCAGTTTGTAGCTCCGCGCGTCTCATCCTTCTCCTTCGCCTCACCATCTCCATCACCTCCCCATCCTCCTCCGTTCCATGCCCTCGCCAACTTGGCACAGCCATCGCGCAGACCGTGTCCCACCATAGCTCCACCTACGGCCAGGCCAGGGCAGAAGCCGTGCCATGACGGCCTGAGAGAAAACGGGTTCGCATGCAGCCCCCCCGCCCGTTTCGGCACCCTTCCACGGATCGCGTTCCTCATGGAGTTCCACCTGTGGCACCACAGGTCGCTCCCGCATGCCGTCCTCCGACCATGTCGGCGCACACCCCACACGGAGCGCGCCCAACATGGATCTCCACATACGCCGCCATAGAAAGTGTTCGCATGCCGCCCCCGCGACCATGCCAGTACACCCCTGACACGGATCGTGCTTCACAGAGATTCGCATCCATGGCCCCAGTGGGCGCGTCCGCATGCCATCCCCGTGGATTCTGGCGCAGCCCTCGCACTTGTGGCCCTAGTAGGCGCACCCGCATGTTGCCCCCCGCCAATTTCGGCACACCCCTCGCACGGATCGGGCCTCACATGGAGCTCGACTTATGGCCCGAAGGAAAGCGTTCGCGTGCCACCCCCTCACCGGCACACCCCACAAGGATCGGAACTCAGGTTGAATTCCATTTGCGTCCCCACAGAAAGTGTTCGCATGCCACCCCCCTGCCCATGTCGCAATACCCCTCACACGGGCAGTGCCTCTTTGGGATCTCCATCCAAGGCCCCAGTGGTCGCGCTCGCATGCAACCCTGCGCCAATTTCGGCGCAGCTCTTGCACGGATCGCGTTCCTGATGGAGTTCCACGTATGGCCCTTTGGGCGGCCCACTTCGGCACACCGCTCACACACGGACTGTGCCTCACAGGGATCTTCATCCCAGGCCACAGTGGTCGCGCTCGCAAGCCATCCTCACAAATTTCGGCACACATCTCACACGGATCGCGCTCCTCTTGAGTTTCACTTGTGGCCCCAGTTGGCGCGCCTGCATGCCGCCCCCCGACCATGTTGGCACACCCTTCACACGGATCGGGTCTCACATGGAGCTCCCATTACGCCCCGAAGGAAAGTGTTCGCATACAGCCCCCTTGCCCATGTCGGAACACCCCTCGCACGGATCGTGCTTCACAGGGACTTTCATCCAAGGCCCCAGTAGGCGCGCCCGCATGTCATCCCCCGTTCATTCTGGCACAGCCCTCGCACGGATCGCGTTCATGGAGATTCACTTGTGGCCCGAGTGGGCGCTTCCGCATGTCCCCTGGCCCACTTCGGCACACATCTCGCGCCGCCGCGACACGCTAAGCAAAAGTTCTTCTCCGTCTGTTTCCAGTGCACGCGTCTGCATGCTGACCCCGCGCCCAATTTGGCGCGCCCTCTTCGCGGATCGCGCCCCACGCGGAGCCCCACAAACGGGCCCAGTGGGCGCGCCTGCATGCCGCCCCCCGCTCATTTCGGCACACCCCGCGCTCGGTCCCAGCGGGCGCGTCGCCATGCCGGCCCCCCGCCAATTTTGGCGCACCCCTCTTGCGGATCGTGCCACAACGGAAGCTCCACCCACGGCCCACGGCCCCCTGATTGCGTCTTCGCACGCGGGCGCTCAGCCCATATCGCCACGGCCCTCACACAGATCGCGCCCGCGGCATGCCCATGATGAGATGGCCTTCCCCTGCGTGCCCCGGAGCTGCACAGGGCCAGGCTGTCAGACTGGCTAGCTGTCTCGACGTCGGATCTCGGGGTCCCTCGCCCCTGGCCCCTCCGAATTGGACGCCGCAAGATCGCGCAGACACAAGGCTTCACGAGGCCCCTGGTCTCCACTCGGGTATAGCCAGGACCCCATGTAAGGGGACTCGATTAGTAGTAGGGCCCCGGAGCCCCTCAGTTGACCAGAGTCACCAAACCAGGTCTGCCGTAGCTGGTGTTTTTACCTAACAGCGAAGACTGATAGGTTTCTAGTGGGGTCAAAAGAGTGCATCCTGATTCCCCGGGGGGGTCTGGGCAGGATCCGGGGGATGCCGGGGGAAACCGGGGAGTCCCCAAAAGCTTATCCCAGGCCGCATTTTGACTGCCCGGAGCCAACAGAACACCATTCCCAGGCCACATTTTGAATGCCCGGAGCCACATGTAGGCCACTTCGTGTTCTTCGTGCTCCCAGAACACCATTCCCAGGCCACATGTTGCATGCCTGGAGCCAACTGTAGGCTTCTTCGTGTTCTTCGCTTTCCCAGAACATTATTCCCAGGCCACATTTTGAATGCCCGGAGCCAACTGTAGGCCACTTCGTGTTATTCGTTTTCCCAGAACATTATTCCCAGGCCACATTTTGAATGCCCGGAGCCAACTGTAGGCCACTTCGTGTTCTTCGTGTTCCCAGAACACCGTTCCTGTACAATATGTTGATTGCCCGGAGCCAACTGTGGGCCACTTCGTGATCTTCGTGTTCCCAGAACACCAGTCCTGTGCCATATTTTGAATGCCCGAGCTGAGGCAGGCTGAGGCTGAGGCAGGCTGAGGCCGAGGCAGGCTGAGGCTGAGGCTGAAGCACGCCGAGGCAAGCTGAGGCTGAGGCTGAGGCCTGAGGCTGAGGCCGAGGCCGAGGCAGGCTGAGGCTGAGGCCGAAGCAAGACGAGGCAGGCTGAGGCCGAGGCTGAGGCTGATGCTGAGGCAGGCTGAGGCTGAGACAGGCTGAGGCTGAGGCTGAGGCAGGCTGAGGCTGAGGCTGAGGCTGAGGCCGAGGCAGGCTCAGGCCGAGACAGGCTGAGGCTGAGACTGAGGCTGAGGCTGAGGATGAGGCCGAGGCAGGCCGAAGCTCAGACAAGGTGAGGCTGAAGGGGCGGGGGGGGAGGGGGGGGGAGGAGGGGAGGCTGAGGCAGGCTGAGGCCGAGGCAGGCTGAGGCCGAGGCAGGCTGAGGCTGAGGCTGAGGCTGAGGCTGAGGCTGAGGCTGAGGCTGAGGCTGAGGCAGGCTGAGGCTGAGGCTGACGCAGGCTGAGGCCGAGGCAGGCTGAGGCTGAGGCTGAGACAGGCTGAGGCCGAGGCCGAGGCAGGCTGAGGCTGAGGCTGAGGCAAGCCGAGGCAGGCTGAAACTGAGGCTGAAACTGAGGCAGGCTGAGGCATCAGTAGGAATCCATAGGAATCCTTAGGAATCCCTAGGAATCCTTAGGAATCCGTAGGCATTCTTAGGAATCCGTAGGCATAGTTTAGCATCCTCAGGAATCCATCGGAATCCTTAGGATTCCTCAGGAATCCTTCGGAATCCCCAGGAATCCCTAGGAATCAGGATTCCTAAGGATTGCTAAGGTTTCCTAAGGATGCCTAAGGATGCCTAAGGAATCCCTCGGAATCCTTAGGATTCCATTGGATCCTAAGGCCGTTGCCACTGCGACTGTCATTGCGACTGCGACTGCGACTGCGACTGCGAGAACAGCAGAATTCTACAATTGGATTCTCACCTGAATCTTAAGGGGAATACTTCCAGATATGCTTATACACATCGCTGTTAGGTTGCTTTGCCGGGATAATTTTAGGGTGACGGCAACTCTGGTCAGTGGAACGGGCTGGGGGGGCGTCCCCCAGCACACATCACTAAACCAGGTCCACTAAACCCAGTCCTGCCAACGCCCGATCGACGGGCGGTTCCTCCGCCGCCGGCGGCACCATCCCCGCGCACGCCCCTCTGCCCGCGCCTTCGGCGCCGAAGAAGGGGTGCTGAGAGAGGACGGACCCGGCGGAGGAGCCGTCCGCGAGTCTCCGAAGGCATGGGTTCTTCTGCCGTCTTGGTCTCCCGTTCCCGGGGGCTTCCTCGACGCCACGTGGGGCGCTCCAGAAAGGGCCTCGCCTTTGAGGGGTGGACGTCTCCTCCTAGGCGGAGGGCTCCAGAAGAAACGAATTTTCCATGTCCCCGAAGAGATGCATTTTTTAGGGGGGCCTCAGGGCTTCTGGAGCGGCCCATGTGAACACCGTTCATGTTCGAGCGGTCGTTCGAGGCCTCGGTGCCCAGTCCTTGGGGCAGCTTCTCCTCAGCTCTCGGGTCGCACTGCTCTTGGGTACGGAAAGAATGGGTACAAAGACCGACGGCATTTCCTGTTCATTCTGAGCCGGACTCGCTGTCTGTGTCGCCGCGGACATTGTCCTCTTGAGACAGAAGGCCACCTGCCCAGCCGCGGCCGCTGCTGGTTTTGGACAACGTTTGCTGGGCATCGTGCCCATCTTTTCCACACCCAGGTCGGGCGCCCAGATCCCGAAAGCGCGCCACCAGTGGATGGCCCTGAATACACTAAAGGGGGGGGGGCTCGCAGAACCCCCCCCCCCTTCCCCCCTTAAAGGGGGAGGGGGGGGTCCGAACCCCCCCCCCCTGGGGGGGTGGTTCCGCAGCCCCCCCCCCTCCCCCTCTTGGCGCTGGAAAGGGAGGGGGGGTTCGAACCCCCCCCCTCCCCTCCCCCCCTTTGCGCCGAACAGGGGGCTGGGGAAGTGGCCTCTCGGGTAGTGAGTAGAGAGTAGAGTAGCGATTGGTGAGTAGTGGGTATTTGATAGTGAGTAGTGCGCAGTGAGTCGTGGGTGGTGAGTAGTGAGTAGTGGGTAATGAGCAGTGGTAGTAGTGAGTAGCGCGTAGAGGTTAGTGAGTAGTGAGTAGTGGGTAGTGGGTAGTGAGTAGTGGACCGGAAGTAGTGAGTAAGGAATTGTGAGTAGTGAGCAGTGAGGAGTGACTGAGGAGTGAGTAGTGTTTAGTGAGTACTGCATAGTGAGTAGCAAGCAGGGAGTAGGGATGAGGAAGTAGACAGTAGCGAGGAGTGAGTAGTGAGTAGTGAGTAGTGCGCAGTGAATAGAGAGTAGTGAGTAGTGAGTAGTGAGTAGTGAGTGCGAGTAGCAAATAGCGAGTAGGGAGTAGCGACTAGGGGGTGGCGAGTAGTGAGTAGCGAGTAGGGCGTAGTGAGTCGTGATTAGTGAGGACGAAATAGTGAGGAGTCAGTAGTGAGTAGTGAGTAGGGAGTAGTGCGTAGCGAGTAGGGAGTAGCGAGTAGTGAGTAGTGAGTAGTGAATCGTGAGTTGTGAGTAGTGAATAGGGAGTAGTGAGTAGTGAGTAGTGAGAAGCGAGAAGTGGGTATTGAGTAGCCGGTAGTGCGTAGGGAGCAGCGAGTAGAAATTTGCGAGTAGTGTGTCGTGAGTAATGAGTAATGAGTAGCGACTTGCGACTAGTGACTAGTGGGGAAGTAGGGCGCAGTGAGTAGCGAGTAGTGCTTAGGAGGTAGTGAATATGTCCTGTTGGATAGCGAGTAGCGGATAGTGAGTAGTGAGTTCTGGGCAGTGAGTACTGAGTAGTGAAGTGTGAGTTCTCAGTAGTAAGCAGTGGACAGTGGTTAGTGGATAGTGAGTAGCGCTTAGTGAGTAGTGAGTACTGGGAAGTGCGTAGTGTTGAAGGAGTAATGAGTATTGAGTACTGAGTAGTGAGTTGGGAGTAGTGAATAGGGAGTAGGAAGTACTGAGTAGTGAGTAGTGGGAGCGTAGTGAGTAGTGAGTAGTGGGTTGTGAATAGTGCGTATTGGGTAGCGAGTAGGGCGTAGGGAGTAGCGAGTAGTGAGAAGTGAATAGTGAGAAATGTGTAGGGAGTAGGGAGTAGCGAGTAGCGAGTAGTGGATAGTGAGTGATGACTTGTGGGCAGTGAGTAGTGAGTAGTGAAATGTGAGTAGTGAGTAGCGGATAGTGGTTAGTGGGTAGTGAGTAGTGATGTGTGATTAGCGAGTAGTGGGTAGTGTTTAGTGGGTAGTGAGTATTGAGTTGTTGGTAGTGAATCGTGAGTAGTTTGTAGTGAGTAGTGAGTAGTGGGTAGGGAGTAGGGAGTAGTGAGTAGTGCGTCGTGGGTAGTGAGTCGTGGGTAGTGAGTAGTGAGTCGTGAGTAGTGAGTTGTGAGTAGAGAGAAGTGAGTAGTGGGTAGCGAGTAGTGAATTGTGGGTCGTGAGTAGTGCGTAATGAGTAGTGAGTACTGTTTGGGGGTAGGGTTTGGGCTTGGGGTTAGGGTTAGGGGTTAAAGCAAGGGTGAGGATTAGTGTTAGGGGTGGTAGGGGTCGGGTTCCGGAGACCGGGGGCGCCGTGGCGAAAGGGGGGGAGGGGTCGAATTTGGCGGCGAAGGGGGGGTAGGGAAGGGGGGGGTTCGGACCCCCCCCTCTCTTTTGAAAGGGGGGGAGGGGGGGAGGGGGTTCCTCGACGACGGACCGGGAAAGGGAGGGAGGGGGGGGGGGTCCCCGACAACGGATCGGGAAAGGGGGGGGGGGAGGTTCCCCGACGACGGATCCGGGAAAGAAGGGGGGGGGGTCCCAACCCCACCCCCAGCCTTGGGGTCATGCAGCGGCGCGCCCTCCCAGATCCCCTGCCGCACCTCTCCCCTCCCCATCCCCTCGGAGATGCGGCTCCAGACGTGAGCGGCTGTCCCTTCCGACCTCGTGGAGGACTAGCGGCCTCGAAAGACTCGGCGCTCGTGCCTGGAAGGCGGATGCCTGTTGAAGCGGCCGACCTGGGCGAGAGCCGGATGCACACCTGGCCTCGTGCTCCTTCTGGCGCGCGGCCATCCTGCGGACGGGCACGCTGGCCCTCCGCACGTGCATCCAGCGCGTGGCCCCCTCGTGCTCCGCCTGCGGATCCAGCCGCCTGGTGCTCCGGACGGCCTCCTCGACACGCTCGGTCGCAGAGGCGGACAAGTCTTCGACGCCGGGCGAGGGCTCCCAGACGTGGGCCGGCGGAGGTGCACTCCTGAATGGGTGCCGGACGCTCGTTGCCCAGTCGCAGCCGAAGCTTCACGCGCTCTTCGAGGTCGCCGACAGGAAGGCGAGGAAGGAAAAAAAGGATCGCGGTGCTTGTGGTTTGCCTCGGTGCCTGCCAACGCCACCGCGTCCGCCACAGCGCCACCGAGCATTTTCGCCGCTCCAGCGTTATCAACAGAAATCGGCCCAGGCTAGTTTGAAGAAATTTGAAGGTTGGCTGAGATGTCTTAAATATAATGTTCGTGATCATATGTTCGGCGGTCTCTCGACCTGCAACGTCACAGTTGCACGTGACTGTCACGCTGTTGCGTGCACATGACGTGACCCGCTGCTGAGTGGTTCGTCGTGGGTATCATAGGACGTAGCTGTTACCCGTTGCCGAATGGTCAGTCGCAGGGGAGTCCAGGAGGAAGACGCAGGAGAAGTATGGTTTTGAAGGAACGGGGGAGGGGTGGGGAATGTGTTGGGTGTGTACACAGGCTGGGACTGGCTTTGGTTCTCGGAAGTTGGCCCAGCGCACGGCTTCGGTCGCGCGTGAATTAGTCGAGGCACCGTCTTGCAGGCATTCGGAACGGGCGGCTTCAATTCGATACCCCCCCCCCTCCGTCGCAATCCGACAAATCGCCTCTTCATGCCCTGTTAGGCGATCTGGGGCGCTTTGGGGGCCGTCTCGGAGCCTTCATGGGCGCCTCGTAAGCGATCGTGTAGCCATTCTGAGGCTTCAGAAGCCCATCCAAAACAAAATGGCGAGAAGGCACACATGATTGGAACACCGACTTGTGGCTGTTGAAGGAGTTTGAACTCATGGGGGTTTATTTTGGGAGGTCTTGGGGGGCTATTGGGCGCTCTTTGGGCCGACCAGCGCCCTTATGGCTCCCTCTTCGGGCTCTCTGGGACGATCGTCGAGCCAAACCAAGAGCTCGGAAGCCAATCTGGAAGCGAAAAGACGAAAGGCAGCATTCGTTGAAAAAAAACTTGTGTTGAATGAATGGGGCTTCGTCGGGTCCCATGGGAGGCTACGAAAAACCACCTTGGACTCCATCTTGGGCCATCTGGACAGCATTCCCGCGCGCACCCGACGTTGTCTCCGCCCTGCCTTCGTCACACAATTTCACCGCAGAGGCCCTGAGCCTGTACAGCCAAGGCGCTGAAACGATGACCAGTCCAGGTTCGGAAGGGGCGTGCTGTCCCGTAACTAGTCCTATTTCCCTGGCGGCTCCTCTGTCGTCGCTTTGCGCCCCCCCGGGCGCCTGCTGGGGCAAGGGGTCCCGGCTCCAGCACGCTCGGCGCTCGCAGCACGTGTTTCCCTGTTCTGCGCTGCTCGCCCGTGCGCTTGGCACGGGGACGCCGCCAGCAGGGGCTTGCCGGACCCCAGACTCCTTGCTCCTCGATCCCTGGGTCGGGGTAGCATCGCCCCTTCACCCCGCAGGGGGTGGGACGCTCTGCAAACAATTGTTCTAGGGCCAAAACGGGCGCTTCGTTCCTGTGGCCGTTTGGGCCGCAGGGTCTCTCCACACAGCACCGCTTTTCGCAGTCCCACCTCAGGTGGTGGTGGATTTCAACACTGGCCGCTTTGGGCCGCCAGGTGTTTAAATGCAACGCCGCTTGCCGCTTCCACCTGCCAGGGCACCCTCCAGTTCATCCGCTCTTCCTCCCCCCCTGGTTCTCTGTGCGCACAGGCTTGGTTCCTGTGCACGCGCGAAGCGAGCCAAACCTTCAGGCGATATCGCTGCAGGACAGCAAAACAACAGCAGAGGGCCTCGTTCCTGATACATCGTTCCGTGTGGATGCAGTTTGACAGCAGGGTCTCAGCGGCGCGGCCCCTGAGGAGAAGCTCGCCGAGCCCGCGGAGGCCACCGCCCGCGCGCGCGCGCGCCGCTGGCTTCGACCTCGCTGGCTCGGCGTCCCCGTCGTCCTCGCTGGCGGTCGACGACCGAGGATCGTGGGGCCGTCGAAGGTTTAGCCAGCGAGCTCACAGCAGGGCTCGGAGAGCAAGCCCGATAAGCTTGTCGGAGGGATCCTGCGCGGTCTGCTCATCTTCGGGTTCACATACCGTCTGGGGTTTGATATTTCGAATCGGGAGCCGAAGCCCAATTCCAGCCCAGTGGTCGGGGTGCTGGGTTCACATTGTGCCGGGCCCCTGCGGCCAAACCGGGGCGAGGCGCCAGTCTTGCCCCCAGACCCCGCCGCCCCTCCACCCTCGCTCCTCGAGCGGCTCCCGCTGACCATCCTCGATCTTGCGCTGGCCTCGATGGCGGCAAGATGCACAGTGGCAAATTAAGGCAATATTTCGGATCGGCGCCACCACCATCATCATCATCATCATCATCATCATCATCATCATCATCATCATCATCATCATCGTCATCGTCATCGTCATCATCGTCATCATCAACATCATCATCATAATTATCATCATCAACATTGTCATCCCAAGGAACATCACCATCACCACTGTCATCATCACACTCGCCATTGCGATTAACACCCGTACCACCACCATCATCGCAATCGTCATCATCATCATCATCCATAGCATCGTCGTCATCATCATCAGCATCATCGTCAACATCAACATCAACATCAACATCATCATCAACGTCAGCATCAACGCCAATATCATCATCATCATCATCATCATCATCATCATCACCATCATCAACGTCATCATCACCATCATCATCAGCTTACCATCAACATCAGCATCATCATCAATACCATCATCGTCATCGTTATCGTCATCATCATCCTCATTGTCCTCATCACCGTCATCGTCATCATCTCATGGTCATCGTCACCGTTCTCATCATCATTAATCGTGGGCCCAGTTTCTCGGACATCTTAATCCGCCATGGACACTTCAGAGGAGGAGACGACACCCATACCCGCCACTCATCGCCATGGCTGGATTCGCCCAGATGTCCTGGCCAGAACGCACTCCTCGAGAGGCCCGCGAAATAATTGTTTCCGCGACTCCCCACCCGCCCATGAGAGTTGACGGGAAAAGTGACGAAGAGACACTTATAGTGAAACAGAGCGTTCAAGGAGATCAGAGGAAGGAGGGTGTTGAGCCATCTTGGAGGCTGTGCCGGAGCATCGGAGGCCTTCTTGGAGTTACGGGGCAGTATTGGGTGATATTGGGGTCCTCTTGGGGCTCGTTTGGGGCATCGTGGGGCCATCTTGGGGCTCTTTGGGGGGTATTGGGGTCCTCGTGGGGCTCTTCTGGGGCGCGATGGGGCCCTCAATGTGCCCTCTTCGGCCTCTCTTGGGGCTGTCTTGGGGCTCTCTTGGGTGCTATGGAACGCCTCCTGGGGCCATCTTGGAGATCATCGATCAAAGGAGGGGGGGTCCTCGATTTCCCTCCTCCCCTTCGGGGCAATCGAAATAGCCTCTTGGGCACTCTTGGGGCCCTCTTTGGGCGATCTTAGGCGCTCTTGGGGCAGTCTTGGGGGCCTCGTGGGCCCTTCTAGGAGCTCTCTTGGGCAATCTTAGGGCCACCTTAAGGCCTCAAAAGCGCATCGGAAGCGGAACGGCGAGAAGGCAAACATCAGTGATTATAGTTCGGTGTTTCAAGGTTGTTGGTTTCTCGGGGAGGTCCTGAGGGGTCGCCCAAAGCACCTGGAACCGTCTTGTGGCCCTCCTTAGCCCTCTTGGAGGCATGCTGTTAGCTATATTGGGCCATGTTGGGCTGTCTTGAGCGACCTTGGAGGCCGTCTTGGGCTGTTGAGGCCCTCTTGGAGCCATCTCAGGCTATCTTGGAGGCTCTGACCGCTCGCGAAGCCCGCCGTCCAGGTCCAGGGGAGGGGATCGGGGGAGGGGTCAAGCGACCCACCCGCCCGCAAGCCGTCTAGCTCACTCCCACCCGCCCTCCCATCACATAAGTAACACCCGAGTCTGAGCATGTTCAGCGGACCAAAGCCGACCCCAGGTGCGCGACGCTTGGGCGAGGTGCGCCACGCGTGCCAGGGGCGCCACGCGCGCCAGGCACCAGTGGGGCCCGAGCGTGCCAGGCACGCCTGGTGCGCCAGATGCGCCACGTTCCCCGAGTGCGCCAGGTGTGCCACACACTCCAGCCGCGCCAGGTGCGCCATGTTCGGGGCACGTGCAGAGTGCGTCAGGTGCGTCTGAGCACGTGACAGCACAAATCGGGAAACATGTAACATGTCGGCCCCCGCCATTCTCTTCGAAAACAAATGTCCATCGTTGTGTCTGGTGGGCCTGCGCACAGCAAGCCGCGCGCCACCACCCCCGCGGTCCCTGTCAAAAACAATGTGACATGATCGCGGGATGGCCGCGCATGATCCAGATTTAGCCGCGAGGAGCATGTTGTATGTATTGTTTTTTGTCAGGGATGGTAGCCCTGCGCACGGCAGGGAATATGCTGGCACCCCCGCCGTCCCTGTCAAAAACAATACGAAGTGTTCGCGGGCCTAACGAACATGACTCAAGATTTTGCCGCAAAGTGTACTTTGCATTGCTTTCTGACAGGGATGGTGCGGGGGGGGGGGGGCGCATCGGGTTGGCCGCGCATGCTCCAAATGTGGAGGCAGAGTGCGGCTTGTATGCTGGGCGGGTCGGCATGGTGTCGGCATGGTTCCTGGTTGGACGCGGGTCGCCTTGGGGAGGGGTTGTATATTACGAAGGAACAGTGATGGACCTTTTCCCGAAGGGGAAGAAGGAATTTTCGAAAGGAAAGAAAGACATCGTTAGACCACCTGCGCCCAGAGGGCTGGTGGGATTAGCGGTGTCGGTGCCTGTCCCTTCCCCCATTGTTGATGCAGTCAGGGAGCTGAAATGAGGAACAACTCGGGTTCGTACGGGGCCCGCTGTTCCTTATGTCCTTACGTGGTTCTTGTTCCTCTGGCGCTCCTTGTGCACCCTGGCGCTCCGGGGGTCAAGCATGAGCTCTGTTCCTTGCTTGGTGTTCCTTGTGGTGGCAGCTTGACTCGTGCACTACCACGGTGCGCGGCAGGATCCAGCCTTTGGATGGTGC